ATTTGCCCAGGGCGGCTCTGCACACCCGGCGACTTCCCCGAAGACGCCGCGCGCTCGGCAGGAGCTCGGTGTGTGGCTGCCTGTGTGCCGGGCGCGTTGGCGCGTTCGGGAAAGAAGAGGGCAGTGTTTGCATTTGCTAACAAAAGGGAGCTGGAGCTGTTCCCCTGCGGAGAGGCCGGCTGTGCTGCACCCTGCTTCCCTTCCCGCCACCTCCCCGCGCTCAGCAGCCGCACGGCCTAACCCGGAGCAACAAGTGGCAGAGGGCGCCGAGAGCTCAGCCCCCACCTGCGGAGCCCCCGGCCCGGCGTGCGTACTGCTGTGGACACCATGACTCTCCGGGGGCTCCTCTCGGCTGGGCTGTGTCTTTTGTTTACACGCTAGAGGACACACAGTTATGTAAACACCGCAGGAAACACGCTGTAGGAAATGAGGGGGAATAACGGGGTGCTAGCTCTGAATTTTGGGGGTGCTGAGTTGATTCTCTCCCCCCAGACTGTCTTGCAGAGGAGCTCGGTTCGGGGAACCTATTAGGGTTGTAGGGGTGGGAACCTGGCAGCAGCTTCAATTCCAGTGTTGAGCATTTTTCTTTCTTCCATCCCACACTGTCTCCGGGTGTTGTTTATGTGTTCTTCCTCTGTGAATTCTTAATTTGTGAGTTACGAGATAATTGGGTTCAACCGATGCCGGTGTGGTTACAACTTCATTTCAGGCGATGCCACTGACTGGAAGGGTTCGAGAAAATGTTCCTGAAAGAGATCGCTGGTGCTGCTGCATTGTAAAAAGCGCCAGTGTCAGTTAAACGTGAGCGTGAGTAAAGGCTCGGTAACTGGCGCATAATAGAAGCAACAATAGACTTGTATTGGCTGCAAAAAAGGGGGGGATGGTGTTCGTGGTGGGGCGCGCTGGTCGGGTATTGCCTTCCCACTAAAAATGGGAGCCATGCTTTGCCGCTTGGCAGCAGAGTAGGATTAGATTATTCCTCCCCTGTCAAGCCTGCTCATTGAAGGCTCCGGGTAGTAACAACAGTACTATATTTGTAACTATCTCTCTGCGAGAAGTTGCCTTCCCAGCGAGGGAGATGGGCTGACTTAGGAGCGGTCTGGAACTCAACCGTGCATGTCAAAGCTACAAGAAAATTCTGTTGCCAGTTACCATGGAAGCAGCTTCTTGCTCTTGTGTACATCCCTGTTTGTAGTCTGGTTATCAGATTGTGTTCAAATTAGGAAGTAATTGGGTTTGATTTGTAGTGAGAGGATAAGAGGACTTTAATTTTTTTTTCTTTGAATGCATGCTTTTTATGTGGTGAATTTGAGAGAGGTTTTGACCCAACCTTTGGTCCTTTGCTCTGGAAGGGTAAATTTCAGGTGGACTCCCGGGGACTTTTCTTCTCTAGTCCTCTTAGTTTGAGCTTTCTCAGAGGCCTCCACTTCCCACTACAGGGGAAACCTGTTGGTGCTGTCTCTGACTTAATTACGCGGGTTTCATTTACATCCTTGCCTTTAAAGTGAACTCTGGCCATTGTGCAGGGGTTCCGGATTGTTTCCTCCTGTAATTGATGCTCTCTATCGTACCCCAACCCCCCAAATCTCCTCACAACCCTCCTGCGGTGTTTGGAAGAAATGGATGTTAATGAAATGCAGCCAAAATGGGATTGCCGAGGCTATGTTCATCATGCCTGTTTCATTGAAAGCCCATGCATAATGTTTTGGATCCCAAAAGAACCAGTGGTAGGTCACCCACACACACACCTTTTTTCTGGATCAGAGAAGATGGCTGATGGGTGGGGGAATTGGGTGGTGGTGACTGCAAGCCCAGGGCTGAGTTTTGCTTGCCGAAGCCTGTTGGGTCTTGCATACCAGGGACAGGGACTTTTACAAAAGTGCCGCCCTGCTATTGTTGCCTTTCCCTGCATCAAATTGAATAGCCACAGGAGGGACTTGCACTTGCCTGTGATGGCTTCGATAAAATATCCCTCATTAATGCCACTTTATATTTACAGTGTGTCATTGGAGACACACAAGGCTTCATTTAGTGACTTGTGTGACGAGCGAGACAAGCTTGCATTATTTGCCTGGGACATTTTGGAGGAACAAGAGACCCATTGAGCGATCTTTTGAAATGAACAAATACGAAAAAGGGGGGAATAAAAGAGCAGGCAGTTCTCTGGAACAAAGAGCTTTATTCATATGGATGTTGTACATGCTTTATCCACTTTTCCCCAATGGCCCTCCTGGTAAAGAGGAGTGGGACAGGGAAGACGACAACAGGCAGGACACTTTTCGCTTCCCTTCTCACTTCCTGACTTCATATTCTTATCATCGGTGTGGGTCCTTGACTCACTGCTTGCTCCTTTCTCTCCACTCTATCTGAAATCCCAGAAGATAACGGGTTCCTGGGTTTCAAAAGGAGACTTGCAGTCCTTTCTCCTAGCACTGAATTTATCTGAAGAAAGTGTTTGCTACCTGTTGAGATTGATGATCGTTGGAAGATATATTGGTTGAAAGGAAAGAGATGTCACTTTTCTATGACATGTGTCAAGAAGTGGTTGAAAGTGAATGTCAGATAGGTAAGATGCCTTACAATTATAACATTAGCCTTACTATTTTTATTTTTAAAGAAATGCTGTGAAAATTCAAAATTTTCATTATCATTAATGGCATTTTGAAATTTTTGTGACTTTTTCCTACCCCTGGTACATTTTAATCTCATACATAAGTGAATTTTTATAAATCTATGGCCTATATTGCTGTATGAATTTTTAGGCTTTAAAATTGATAATATTGCTATGAATATAAACTGTCTTATTCTCTTTGGGTTTCTGTGTATGACATTTTAATGCCTAATTGGCCACTTAGAATTTACATTTTAAAAATGGTGTTTTGGTGTGTGTCTAACAAAAGGCTCATTTTCATGGGGGGGAATTTCTAAAATGGGGCCAAACTAATTGATGCTGTGATTTGAATGGAAATTGACCAGCATATGAAGACAATTGATAAGAAATAAATCCAAAGGATTAAAGTGCTGTATACCTTTCTTGGGAAGAATAGTACTGACCATTACGCTGGGCATTTTTAACAGAAAATCCGGCACAGAAAGGAGAAATCACACAGCGACATCTGTTGCAGAATTGAAAATTTGCTGCTTTGAGTTATAAGCAATTAGTCCGGAATAAGCACCTAATGGTATCAGTGTGTTATGCGTATTGATACAGATATGCATATATGCACATTATTCAAAACTCACCTACATACAGTCTTCATAATCATGTTAAAAAGTATTTAATAGAAAATGTAGCATCAGTCTTAAAGCTCTTTTACAAAATATTAGAGATTCTTGTGGGGTTTTTGAAAGGGGGTACATACTAGAAATCATTTTGTGAGATCTTTTTTATTTTGAAGTTGATATCCAGAGAGGGAAAGACCTTGCTCTCAGCTGAATTGAGGCTGAGTTAGCTGTATATTCTGTTTGGGCACAGGTTCCTTAATTTCTAGCCAGTGGACCTTCGGTTAAACCTTTTGGCAGGGATGTGCAGTCAGAGATATGGATTGTGAAAGGATGATACCTTGGCTGAAAATATTTTGTATTCCAAAGGTAGCATGATTAATTATTGCTCTTGGTCATACACCCATGGATCAGAAGGAACGAATTGTGGAAAGAAAGTACCAGGTCTGTAATGTTGTCTTTGGTGTTGACAAATGATTCTGAAACCTCTGGACTCTATTTGGCAGCCAACACTCGAATATAGTCCTGAGCACCTTCATAAGGGAGGACACCAGCTTTGTGTTGCTGTGATAAGTCAGATATGTGAAAATTCAGTTTCAGAAGATTCAGGTTTTTAAGATTTTTGTCTTTTCAAGGATTTTAAAAGTAAATCTGGTTCTGAGTAACTAAGGAAAAAGGAAGCATTCTTAAGAACAAGAACAAAGCTTGACTTTTTTTTTAAAGCAGGTCCTTGTCCTTTGTCATTAAAAGAGAAAAACTGCAAAAAAAATTTTGTTTTTTGGAGAAAAATTATTTTTTGCCACATGGCTTTATACTGGTAATATTTTCTTTTGTTCTATTTTCTTATTGTTTTTTTCAAATATAGACAAAAGTGGAAAGAATGCCATATTTAACCCTGTATGCAAATCATCAAGTTTAAATAGTTACCTATCCTGGCCAGTCTTCTCTGTTTCTTCTTCCTAGGTTATTTTAAACAGTTGTTGGAAATCCTATAATTTTGTGTTCAGTTACTTCAGAATGAATCTTTAGGATACAGCCCCTTTTCCCCCACTCATAATTATGGTATTATCTGAATGTACATATTCTTAACTGGATATACAGAATTTTTACCCTATCCGTGCTTTTCTAAGAGGCGAAATGAAAGGTTGTCACAGTGGGTAATGTCAAAGCAGAAACTAGCAAAGCCAGGGCAAGATTACTACTTGCGCTGAAGAGACTTTGCCTTTGGTTTAGTTTATTTTGAGCAAGGTTTTGTTTGGATTGGATAAGATGAGTTTTATTGTTGTGTAAATATGGTTGTGTAAATATGCAGTAATTGTAGCTAATCCTTCCACTGTGGCCTGCGTTCATGGCAAGATTGGCCATTGCCAGTTGTTCTGTAATGAGCACCCTCCTTCCCAGGAATTCTGTAGGAAAGGCATATTCTAGTTTGACAGCTGTGAGATGCCCCATTCATGTGTTCATCTTCATAGGCCTCCATGGTATAAATGCTTTTGCATTTTGTGAATATATTGCTTGAAAGAAAAAAAGTCTTTTCTCGTTTCTAAATGGCTATGTGCTGATTTCAGCCTGTATTCCATAACTGATCAAAATTCCTTCTTTGGCATGGGATAGTCACACAAGAAGCTGTAAGTAGTTAAGCCTTATTTTTGTGGTTTGGGAGTGAGGGGTGTTGGGAAGAGAAAAGGGTTATTACTTTTATTTCTCAATATTTGCCCCATTGATTTAAAATCTGAATTTTAAGTTTCAGCTAGATGTGTTTGGAATGCTTTAGTGTTAATTTTTGAACGTCTTTGGTTTTTTTCCGAAAATAGGTTGGTTCAATTTTTCAAGGTTTGTGAAATGTGAAGTTTTTTTTTTTCCCCTTTTGAAAGAGGCTGTTTTTCAAATGTTTTATTTACTGTGGCCTATAAATCTAAATCATTTGGTTTTTTGGTTTAGCCAAACAGGAGGTGATGTTGAGGGGTCGGAGCAGCATTGGCCAGGTGACCCCTCCCCCATGGCAAGCTGGCCACTACACAGGAAATGCACAAAGGAATTTGTGCATCTACAATCTGGGCAGTGCCACCAAAATGGAATAAAAAGCCTTTGTTTGGAAACCATCAACGAAGGAAGAAACCCACTGGAATGTTTGTAATTACAAGTGGCACCACTTCGCTTAAATTTCTGAAGCCACAGTTTCTTTTTCAGAGATGGAAATTGCAGGCTCTAGCTCGCAGCTGGTGTTGTGGTAAAAATGGGCAGTTTCTCTTTGAAGGTCTTCCCGTGCTGGTCTTCCAAAGCTTTAGTGCATTTGGCCATGATTAGGATTAGAAATAAAGGGAGATGTAGGTACAGACACACACACACACACACACACACACACACACACACACACACACACAAACATATTTGCATGACTATAATGATGTGTGACCTTCATTGTCACTCAAAAGAGAAACTTGATGTTAAGGTTGAGAGAAAGCAAGTGCCAAAAAAGACCTGTTATGACTTACAGGTATCTTGAATGAGATGATTATCTTAAGGAGAATGTGGAAAAGGTGGAAAATTTTATCTGTTAGTAGATAATTTTACTGGAATATAGTTAGTTGACCCAACATTTTTTCTAGATACTTCAGAAATGTTAAATAGGCTTGAAATGAAAGTGCTGTGATATGTATTTAAATGCTACTCAGTATTTGAAGTTGATATTCCAGTGACATGGACTTTTAAAAATGCCTAGAATAAGTGTCTGGCTCTTGGCAGACTTTCTTGGGAAGGTAGACTCTTTAATTCCTCTTTAGCTGTCTAGCACTGGACAGCATTGTCAAGTTGGAATGAAGTTATGCCATCCCTGGAGTGGGTGGAGGACAGCCTGCCTCCACCAAAAGACTCCCAGTGTCCATACCATATCTCCACTTGACAGTTAAGGTGTCAAAAATGGAATCTTTCATCTTTCTGCCATAGGTGTCTACTTTTCTCAAAGTCTCCATTACTGTAAGTGACACCATCATCATCCTAGTCTCCAAGCCCCCTAAATTTGGAGTCTTTTTTTCCTCTTTAATTTTTATTCTTTGAACTAAAGTTAAACGGGGCTGATTATTTCTCTACAACATTCTCTGAAAACTTCAGTGACATTTCAAAACTGTGTTTTACCAACATAAGCTTGCTAGCCAGTTCCCCCACCCCATCTTTAATCTGCTGGTCAGAAAGTCCTCAAGTCCATCCACTATTGTTCTCACTTTTTTCTGGACAGGCTCATGCTGCTTCCCTTCAGAAACCTAATCTCAAATTCTTACTTTCATCAAATTCAGACTCTAAACTGTTTTGTTTTCAGGTGGTTCCTTCCTCAGTTGTTCTTGAATTTCCTAATTGCTTTCATTCCTTATTATTTTTCAGTCTAATCTGATGGGACTGAAAAGGGACGATTCTCCAGTCAAACTGAGGAAGAAAGTGGTTCTGCCCAAGAGCCTTGAGCTGGATGCCCTTGCATAAAGCTTACTCTTTGTTTTGTTTGTTTGTTTGTCTTTTTTTGATACCAGGGATCGAACTCTGACCTTGCACTTGCCAGGCAGATGGTGGAACCGCTGAGCTAAATCCCTGGCCCCCTCTCCATTTTTTTCTTTACCTGTCTTGGTTTATAGGTGAAGGATACCCGATTCTCCTTGCTTACCTTGAGAATAAACACCTTCCCTTTACATCCTTCAATTTAACTGACACATACTAAAATATATGTCCACACAAGCATTTCTTTTTCAGCTTTGCAGGTGAATACATAATATGCTTTATGCTGAAATAAAATGTCATTATAATGGCTGTGATTTTAATGAAAATTGTAAATTTTGGAATGTTAAAAATGTATTGTGGTGATTTCATAGAACCAATTTGAATACTAAAGCCTAAAAATGCGATAATTGACTTAACAAATTATGAGCTGGCAGAATAAGACTTTCAAACAAAAAGTTAAGTCCTTTAGAAATAGGAAGACTTTTTAAGGGTTAAAGTTAGAGTTAGGGTGCCTCGTGTGGACATGCTGACTTGGCAAGAGATCAGCCCCTCTGAAGATGATCCATGGGATGCCAGCTTACTGGTGGGTGTAGATCTGGTGGATGTAGGTAATAAGAAAAACCTACTTGGAGAAATAGGAGATGTGTTCTCAAGCCCAGGCCTTATTCTGTAGTGTTTTGAACATATTTGCAGCATTGTGGCAGGTCAGTGAGTTTGGTTGCATTTTGGTAGGTAATACAGAATGTGAATTATCATTGGCTTAAGAAACAAATGAACAAAAATCTTTGTTCAGTCTAACTGCTAAACTTGTTATCTTAATCAAGGCCTTTATGTAGTTTTACTATCTGCTGTAGTTCT